GGAAGAAGCAGCTGCAATCTCACATCACTCTGAGAAGCACAGAGCCGAAGACAGAAGCCTGAAGATGATGAATGAGACTTCATCGAAACGTTGCCTAGATACTTCGAATCTTACGCGGGAGAAAACCCGAACAACCAAAGATCCACATACAAATACCCGCGAGAACCTCAGAGAATATATATATATATATATGGCATTCAGCTTTGTTCGGGTATTTTCCCACATCATTGTAGTTGTGCTTTTAAAGTTGTAGCAATGTTTCAGCAGAATCTCATCTGTTATCATCAGGCTTCTGTATTGTGTTCATCATTATATACATATATATATATGTGTGTGTGTGTGTGTGTGTGTGTGTGTGTGTGTGTTTTCTTAAGTTTTATATATATGATTTCTCAATTCTTTCAGCCTTTCTGTTCCTTGCACTTACATTTGCAAGTCCCTGAAAACCCTTACACTTCAGGCAGCATTTCAAGCAAAGAGACAGCCCCTGGACTTCTGGTTGCTACAGGTAAATAAAATGGCTTTATTTAGTTCTTCCTCTTATTTTCAAATATATGCCTGCTTCCCAAGCACAGCCAACAAAATAATGTTAACTGCCTTTGTACATTTCTGGGAAAGAAGAGTTAGAGACAGAGCTTTGTTTATTTAGTATTTATTTATTAATTTATTTAATTATTGAGGGCTTTTGAGTCAGATTTGTTTATTAGTTTTTTGTTGTTCATATTCCTGGAATATATGTGTGTGTTTATGCTTTTTTGGAAATATTTCTCTTTACAATATGCAATTAATATATAAAATATAATTTGAAGATATGATTTAGGACAGGGACAAAGCACTCAGGCTATCCTAATATGATGTCTACCAAGTTCGGTGTCATTATAACTAATTAGTAAGATACTGTAAAAATAGTTGGCATACAAGTAAGAGTAAAGAAATTTTAAAAAAATATGCATGGAATTGTGGTTCTAAATTATGGCTGAAGTTGGAAAGAGTCTCAGAGCACCATCACTTGGTTGCAGCCAAAAGTCAATATATGATGAGCTCCAGGATTTTCCCCAAATATTTTTCTGGGTTTGGGTTATTATGAATTCTTCCCCCATGGAGATAGAAAATAAAACTCTAGAGCAGGGGTTCGCAACCCCTGCGGGTGAGAGACAATATTCCAGGGGGTGCGAGAAAAGTCCAGGTAAATAATAGGATATTGGCTATATGTTGGCATTTTTATTTATTATTTATTTCAGGTTTGAGTGAAATTTCTTTAGGGGTGCGGGGCAAAAAAAAGGTTGGGAACCACTGCTCTAGAAAAATAAAATACTATAGTTGCTGTATAATTGCACTGGTGGTCATTGAAACATCCAGCTGGTTATGTTATGCAAAGCTTTAGCTGGCTTCAATTTTTCTCTCTCCTTCTATCTTGCCATGTTTATTATTTTGGGTTCTCTTTGAAGATACTATATGCCATCACTTTGTTGATCCTAATGTCAGGGGCAATTACACTGGTCTATAATGAGAAAACTTCCAAAATGAAAGTAGCTAAATTGAATACTAATAAAGGAAAGTTAAGTCCTAAATATTAATTAGCTCCAGTTATCAAAATACAGCTTCAGGTCAAAATTGCATCAAAATAATTCAAAATTATGAGGGGCATGTGTGATTATGTTCCATAACTCTTCTACAAAACGGGATATATCAATGAGAATGGTGCCACATCAATCATTATACACTTATCTTTTTATTGATACCAATAACATAACTTTCCATTCATTTGTTGGTTTTTCATGTAACATTTTCATGCTTTCTGCATGAAAGCTGACAAGCTCTAAGATCAGATTAAACAACAAGGTTCCATCTTTATTCAGTATCTAAACTGCACTTGTTGGGTTTTTTCTTGTGAAGTAAAGTAGGATCATTGCTGGAGAGATTCCAGCAGTAATTGGCAAGTATGGATGGACTACATTTCTCCTGGTATTTTCTCCATGCCTCCGAAATCCTGGTGGAATCTCTCCCCAATTTCATCATGCACTGTCCCACAGTTCAAAGGAAATAGTCTAAATGTGAATGTAAGAAATAAGTTTTCATTGACATGTTTGCACCAAATGCTTTACAGGACCTAAGCAAATTTCAATGTTTTTCTTGCAGTCATCTGCCTTGCTGTTCTCAAAGTAAAGATAAATTTATAAATTTCCATACGGTACCATTTTCATTGTTCTACCATACTTTGTCAAGAAGTTAGGAGGTGTCATGATTATTAGACACCTACCTCTCTTGTAGGCAAATATACTTACCTATGTCTAAATCTTTATTATGAAATATCTTGAAATCTTTAGCCAACCAGCCTATTTATTACCTGTTTTCTAATCAAAATATGTAAAATTAACTCATTTTATCTCAGAGATCGATAATTTCCCAAAATTTGTAGACTTGTGTTCTCTGTGAAATAGCATCAATCCATGTACTAAGGTTGTTATGGTTTGGAAATGGGTGACTAGTAACCACTGTGTATACTTTGAGACATTACTTTACAATAAAGCTACATGGCAAAGGGATTAGAATAGTTGTACAGTACATGTGACTGGAACTTAAAACTTATTACTCATAACTGGTGGGCTGCTTTTTTCCTTATCAAAAAGAACTTGGAAACACTTTGTTGCCATGTATTTCATGTTCTGTGCTTTTCAATAAAACCTATCTTTAACTGATCACATGATTCTAATAACAGCCTGTAATAATGTTAAATGTCAACAATGCCCAGCACCCTTGATAATTAACCTTATAGCCACCACAGCACCTGCATATATCTGCAATTGCCTGCTCACAGTAGGCTCTCTCATTAGGGTGGCCATCATCAACCAGCTTGAATCAGGGTACCCAGGATGTTTAGTTCAGCAAGAGATGCCCAAGGTTACAAAAAATTGTTGAATTGTTGTCACTATAGATCACTTGTGTTTATACCTTAGCATGTGTTCTGCAGTTTTCCAGAAATGTCAGACAGCTGGCATATTGCTGTTTATAGGAGCCTCAGCTATTATCCTATTATATTCATGCCCATAATAAATTTGCATAGGGCTGTTATATGCTCAGACTTAAAGTGTAAACAAGTTTATTTGACTAGATTGGCCAGCAACAAGGTAGTAGTATAATGCACATAGCTCAATCTGAGAAATAGCAATGGATAGATAAGATGATAGATTTCTCAGACAAGTATTACCTAATACTAGTACAACTAGTATTACCAGATTGGCTTTCTAATATGATATTTTCTGGCTTAAAATGCATTATATAACTATATTATATTTTGTTATGTAATTATATAGCCAGGGTTAATTAATGGCAGGTAGGCTAAGGCAGTCATAGAATGAATTCTACTTGATAAAAAGCATCCACAAAAGAGGCCTAAAGCAAGATGGAGTAATGACATCAGCAAGTATGATGTCCAACTGGGAAAAGTAAGCTCAAGACTATTGGTTAAAAACAAGCAAAAAAAGCCTTCATCTTGTAGTGGATAGACAATGGCTAGATGATAGCAATATCAATATCAATAGCACTTAGACTTAAATACTGCTTTATAATGCTTTACAGCCCTTTCTAAGCAGTTTACAGAGTCAGCATATTGCTCCCAACAATCTGAGTCCTCATTTTACCCTCCTCAGAAGGATGGAAGACTGAGTCACCCTTGATCCTGGTGGGATTTAATCTGCAAATTGCAGGCAGCTGTCTGTCTGCAGAAGTACTTTGCAGTACTGCACTCTAACCACTGCACCACCGAGGCTCTTCAATGATGGCATGATGAAAACTAGGATTATCAGTTGTCCGCATTTTCCTTATATCATGTAATCTATATTAAAAAAGACAAAGATAGCTACAAGCTACAAAGTTGTCTATACAGTAGAAACTTGATAGATTTGACATATAGTGAGAAATTGAAAATGATTTAACTTGGGTGTTCATTAAAAAGTAATCCTCTTAATTATGAAAATGCACAGAAAAAAACTGTAATTTGATCTACAATAGTAACTGGATCAAACCTCAAAAAAGAACCACTTTCACACATCCATTTGTTATGTTATTTCCAATCAAGAAAACTGCCTTTTGCTTATGAAGATGGGCAGAAGTTAACATTAGGAAGAACTCCTTGTCTAGGTATGTAGAAACAAGACTGCTGGTTTTCAGGATAAAATTTTGGTTGTCTGCATTCTTTTTTTTTTTTTAGAAAAAACTTTATTAATTTTACTTTTAAAAAAACAACAACACAGCTACAAATTATATACAACAAAAAGACAAACAGGTCTTGGCATAGGCCAAGAGGGAAAGAGAGGAAGGCTTGAGAGAGGAAAGAGGGAAAGGTAAGGGAAGGGGGGGGAAGAGTAGGGAAAACAATTATAATAAAACTATATTTTTGTGACTGTCTGTAAGGTCTTTTCTTCTTCAAAACTATCGTCGGCGGTGCTTTTCTTTATCTCTGCTTCGGAGGCCCTCGGCCTTAATTTTCTTAGAGGTGATCTATCTTTGGTTTAGCCAAATATACAAAGGATTCCAATTGCTGTAATAGGTTGAGGATTCTTTATTTTTTAATGCTTGGGTTAGTTTGTCCATTTCGGCGCATTGTAAAATTTTCTGAATAACCATAAGTTCAGTGGGGATAGAGGGTAGTTTCCAGCACTGGGCAAATGCCAGTCTGGCCGCAGTTAAGATATGGATTGTAATATACTTTGATTTTTTGGATATTTGTTTATCAAAAATTCCTAGAAGGAAGGACTCTGGTTTGTACTCAGTTTGTTCCTTGGTTATTTCCTCTAGCCAGTGCCTAATTTTTTGCCAGTACTTCTGGGTTTCCTTGCATGACCACCACATGTGGAAGAAGGTACCTTCTGTGTATTGACATTTCCAACATTTGGGGCTCGTGTTGGGGTGCATCTTCGCCAATCTCGAAGGGGGCAGGTGCCATCTATAAAACATTTTATATAAGTTTTCTTTATAAGCTGCTGATTTCGTGATCTTAATGTTCCTGTTCCAGATCTTTTCCCATTCTGCTAGGGTAAATGCTCCGACCCACGTTTCTGCTCCATGCAATCATATTTCCTTTGACAATTTCTTGTTCTAGTTCTGTTTCTAATAAATGTTTGTAAAATTTAGATATATTTTTTTTACTTGGTCCTAATAGAATTTTGTCTAGAGTCTGTAATTTATTGTAGATTCCAAATTCCTTGATGTCTTGTTTGTATCTACTATGAATTTGAAGATACACCCATTGATCAATTATAAATCCTCGCTCTTGTAATTCTTGTCGTGTTTTCAGCTTTCCTTGTGGGTCTAATAAATTTTCGTACTTAATCATTTTGGTTATATCCAAATTATTAGGGTGTACTATCGCTTCCATTGGAGATAGCCAAATCGGTATTTTTAGATAAAGTTTTTTACGTACTTTTTTCCAATTAGTTAATAAAGAGTCCCTGATAAGATGCCTATGGAAATATGATTGCCTGGGTTTCCCAGTTTCCCACAGAAAGG